CCTATGTTTCCTTTTTAATTTTCAAGTAAGTTGCGTCTATTTATGTGGAAACCTTTGGATGTTTTTCAAATTTCATGGTTTAAAAAAATGGGGCGAGGGGATCCTTTCTCCGAGGAAATGGACACCTGTATCTCGCAGGGGCGGTGGAGCTGCACGCCTGGGTCGGTCCCAGTCCTTGTCAACGGAGCTGCGAGAAAGCAATTTCCCCGGAAAGGCGGAGCGGGCGACCGCAAGGCATTACGGGAGTTGTAGTTTCTCGAGGTGCGGCCGGGGAAGTCACTGTCCTTCGATTTCCGTGAGAAAAAGCCAGGAGCCAAAGAGAAAGGGTGAAGAGTCGAGCCTGGAGCGTGCGCCGAAAGATTGAGGCGAGAGAATCCGGACTCAGTGAGACCCTGTAAAAAGAAAAAAGAAAAAAATGCGACGAGGAAGAGGGCGGTGTCGCGCCGGGCGCGGTGGATCATGGGACTGGTAGTTCGCAGTGACGCCCCCGCTACGCCCCACCGCGCCCGCGTGGGAGCACTGGACTACCTTACCCGGCAGGCGTCGCGCGCTGGGCCAGGGGACGGCGGCCTGGCCTCCGACAAATCAAATCGAAGGAAAGAAACTGCCGGCTTTCAAAATCCTCCTCCTCCGCCATCATCCGCCGCCGCCGTGCGGAGAGCAGGTGGTGCTGTGGTCGCCAGTGAGGAACGGCCCCGGGAGCGCGGGCGGACCAGCGCGCTGGGCTTCAGGGCCACTGGACCCGGAGGTGGCGACCCTGACCGGACCTGACCCGGACCCTAAATCGGCCGCCGCCTCGCCTGGCGGACACGCGCGCTCGGGTCGCCCCACGCGGCGTCGCCGCCTGTTTACGGTAGGGTCGGGATCCCTTTCCTTCCCCTGTCACCTGCCTGGGATGGGGGCGGGCCCGGAGCTCCCCTGGATGTCGGCGAGGAAGGGCTGGAGGCCCTGAGCACCCTCAGCTTCCCCGTCGGCCTTCTGCGCTTGCGAGCGCGCAGAGAGTGATGGTGGGTGTCGGGGTACTGGGGGGTGCCAGCCCTTCCCCGAGTGGGGAAACTGAGGACTACAGGGCGTCTGACTCCCCGGAGCCGCCGAGCCATGCAGCCGCCAACCGCGGCGTCTCAGGTTAGCATCGGGGTCCACCCGCCTGTCATTTACGGCCTGGATTCGTGCGTCTCTTCCCCGCCGTCGCCCCTAGGCCCACGCCCACGGGCTGGGGGGAAGGCGTGAGTCACTGCCGGCGCTCTGCGGAACGGCGATGTGCACCTAAGGAAGCTTAGGACGGCCGCCAGGAATCGAGAGGACGTTTCTGTATTAACTGTTGGTCTTTGCTCTGCTGCTGACCGTTTTCTGACCTTGGACAAATCAATTCATCTCCCTGTGCTTCGGTTTCATAGTCTTTGAAGTGGACGAAGGGATGTGCCTGTGGACTCAGGAATGGGCCTCTTTTCCAGCTAAGGAGTTTGGGCTCTCTCTTCCATCTGGAGCCTCCTCACCCCTTTCCTAGCCTCAAATTGTTCTTACCCAGAACTACCAGAGGTGATGGGGTCATAGGATAATTTTTATTCTATTTCATCCTCATTCGTTGAGCCTTCTAGATGCCCTAGGGGGGCTAGTGGAGTAGTTTTGTCAAAACATTGGTCAGATCAAGGCTCTTGTCTGCTGGAGACCCTCCAGTGGCTCTCCTTATTACTCAAAGTGAAGACCACGTATATACATTTTTCTCTTTAGGTTTTTGCCATAAGAGCCCATGCGCTGGCCAGAGAGACAGAGAGAGGAAAAATGAGAAATCATCCCCTGGGGAGACTGTCATACTGCAGTGCCTTCTCAATTCTCCTCTCAGGATTTTGGGCTGAAGCACATGCACCTGCACCCACTGTGATTTTCAAAGTGATAGGTCTGGGATGCCAACCTGTGGGCCTTGTGTAAGTCCAGCGCTTTAACCACCATGCCACCTGCTGGCCCAAAGGCCACATTCTTATAATGGCTTCTTTTCTTTTTTGTAAATAGTTATTTTTATTTATCTTTACTTATTTATTTCCTTTTTGTTGTTGTTGTTGTTTTAATTTGAACAGATAGCAGGAGAGAGAGAGAGTGAGTAAGCAAGCCACCAGGTCTGGGACTCAAACCGTGGTCGGCCATGTGGGAGTCCAGCATCCTCAACCACCACACCACCTGCCAGCTCCTTAAAATGGCTTTTGAGATTTGGGTTCAATTCTTTTCTTATCTCTTCCCTCCTTTCTCTCTCTTTCTCCCCTCCCCCCTCTCTCTCTGCTCCAGCCCCTCTGGCTTTGCAGTTCCTTCAGCCTCCTTTCTCCCATGGGAGCCTGCACGGTACTACTCCCTTTGCAGAGATGCGTTTCCCCCAGTTGACTGCATGGTGCAGTCTCTGATATTCTTCAGGTCTTTGTTTGTTTCTTAACAGTACCTTCTCCAGTCTACTTTAAACTGCAGTCTCTTCCAAAAACAAGTAGTCTCATGGGGACCAGCAGTTTGTGTAATGGCTATGTTGCTGGACTCCCACGTAGTCGACTACAGTTTGCCTCCGGACCCTGTGGCTTAAAACTCACGCTGGGCGTGTGTGCATGTGTGCCCAAGATCCCAAGAGGAGAGTGGAGGAGAAGGGATTGGGGTGTGGCCATCCCCCCTGGGGGGTGATTTCTCGCTTTCTGTCTCTGTCTTCCTGGGGAGCGCATGCTCCCTATAGCAAAAACCTCTCCAAAAAAAAGACACAAATGATCTCAATAAATATCTTGTTTAGAATATAAGGCTTTAAGAGGGCAAGCTTTTTGTTTTATCTACAGTTCTACTCCTAGTATTTGGTACCTGGAACAATGTCCACATATTAATAGTCAATAAGTGTTTTTTTAAATTTTCACCATAGAGCGCATTTGTTTACCAGGGTGCACTTGCCAGAGACACAGAGGAAAAGAAAGTGAGATAACCCCCCCACCCAGAAGGGATGGCCACACTGCAACCTCTTCTTATTCTCCTGGGATTTTTGGCATGCACACACATGCCTAGCATGATTTTCAAGTTGCCAGATCTGGACAGGAATTGCAGTCAGCCAGTTGGGAGTCCAGCACCTTACACCACTCCACCTGCTGGCCAATGCTCATTGATATTTTGCTAAACAAGAATCATTCATACTTTGTGTCATATACAGACAGACAATCCTGAGTAATAAGTGGTAAGATGCAGGAAGGGGGTGGGAGGGCCAGCTAGGTGGGATGCTGGATCCAGCCTCCCTGAGAAGATGTTGCAGCATGGCCATTCCCAAAGGGTCATTTCTCACTTACTTGCTCTCTTTCTCCTTCTCTTTCTCTCTCTCTCTAACAGCACATGTGCCTTACAGCAAAAAAAAAAAAAAAAAAAAAAAAAAAAGGAAAGAAAGAAAAAGGGTGGAAAGCTGGCTGTGAGAGCTCAGAGAAGGCGCCTTGGAGTGAGAGTGGGCATGAGTGCATGGAAGCTGTCACAGCTGTGTCTGGGGGTGAGGAGATTCAGGGAGAATGTCTCCGGTTGACACCTTCCAGCTCTGTCCCCACGTCACTCTTCATTGGTCCCCCCCTGATTACCTGCCTCCTCTTTAGGCCGTGGAGTTGTCTATTCTGCCTGTCTGTCAAGCTCCAGGCTGGAAACTCCCTTTTCTGGAGGCTCTGTTCCTAGCTTTGACAGTGTGAGCTACATATTTGGTCTTTTCCCCAATATCCTAGCGTACAAGTCTTGAAGTCCTTAGAATCTTTTTTTTTTTAAAGAATTGTTTATTTTATTTATTCATTTTATTTATTTTTTTAAATTTGATCAGAAAGACACAGAGAGAGAGTGAAAGAGGGAAAGTGAGAAAGCAAGCCACCAGGTCTGAGACTCAAACCGTGGTTGGCCATGTGGGAATCCAGCGCCTTTATCCACCATGCCACTTGCCAGCCCCAGAAGTCCTTAGAATCTTTAAAGTGATAAATGTTTGTCTTTCTTTCTTTCTTTCTTTCTTTCTTTCTTTCTTTCTTTCTTTCTTTCTTTCTCTCTCTCTCTCTCTCTCTCTCTCTTTCTTTTTTTTAAAAATTTGTTATAGGGTCAAATGCAGTTGAGAGAGAGAAAGTACCCTTTTGGGGGGTAGTCATGCTGTAATTCCCTCCCACTCTTCTCTGGGGTTTTGGGTGTGCACACACGCAGTCAGCCATGTGGAATCGAGCTGCCTTAACCACCAGGCCATCAGCCGGCCCAAAGTGATAAATGTCTTTTTGTACTAATGAGCTGGCAGCCTCTAGGTAGCTTCAGGACTGGGACTGGGTAAGAGGAAGATCTAGGCAGGATTAGAGGATTAGAATTTTCCAAGTCACCCCCAAACCTCTGGGGGCGGGTCGCTGAATGTTAACTCAATCACCAATAGGTAATGATTTAAGCAATCAAGCCTAGATAATGAAGCCACCATCAAAACCCAAAATGACAAGTTTTAGAATACTTTCTGAGAGCAGAGCATGTGGGAATTCCTGGAGGGTGGCACCCCCAGAAGGTCTGGAAGCTCTCTACCCCTTCTCCCATCTCTCATCCTAAGTGTCTCTTCATCTGGCTGTTTCTTTGTGTCCTTTAAAATACACTTTATAATAAACTGGTAAACACAAGTGTTTCCTTGACTCCTGTGAGCTGCTCTAGCAAATTAACCCACCCCAAGGAGGAGGCTGTGGAACCCTGACGTGCGGTTGGCCAGTCAGAAGTACAGGGAAAACAATGTGGGGCTCAAGGTGAGCATTGGACAGGGCCCTCGGCCTGTGGGATCTGATGCTGTCGAGGTCGATAGTGTTGGGACTGAGTTCGAGGGCACCCAGCTGAAGTCGGCTGCAGAGTGGCCTGCTTGCTTGCTGTGAGGAGTAGCTCCTCTGCTATGAGAAGCATCTTCAGAGGGTAGCAGAGAAACCGAGGTCGTGTTTCATACACCCTGGTCTATTGTGATGGCGGCTGTTGTGATGTAGAGACCTTTGGTCTCCTAGGAACCCCTGAGGAGCCCCCATGGCCACCCAGCCTCCTGGCCAGGACTGAAACCAGAGGTGCAGTGGGCTGACCCCTGTGCCCCACCCCCAGAGACATGCCAGCGTGGGCAGTAGGGCATTTTCTGGGATGGATGACCTGGATCCCCTAGCCATCGATGTCCTGTTTGAAGAATGGAACCCTCCCACAGAGAACAGTCAAGATGATCAGGCAGGTCTGTGTCCAGGCTGACTCTGGCCACTCATGCAGGGCCCAGGGTGGGCAGTTCCTGAGGTTTGGCTGGGTGTCCCAGCTGGGCAGCTGGGCAGAGGAGGACCTGCAGTAAGGTGGGGTCTTGGTCTGTTCAGTGTTGTGATAGCAGGACACTTGAGGCTGGGTAAGTTATAAAGAAAAAGTGTAGGGGCCAGTGAGTGGTGTGGTGGTTAAGGTGCTGGACTCCCACATGTCCAACCATGGTTCGTGTCCTGGACCTGGTGGCTTGTTTCCTCATTTTCCTTCTCTCTCTCTCTGTTTCTCTTTGGTGAGTGCACGTGCCCTATAGCAAATTAAAAATAAGTAAGTAAATAAATAAATACATTTTAGAAAAAAAGTTTATTTGGCTCTGGATTCTGGTGGCTTGAAAGTCCAGGAAGTGTGGCTCTGGCCTCTGCTCATCCCCTGGTGAGGGTCATATGCTACATTATAGCCTGTGGAGGCTCTAGTGGCGCATACAGAGAGACCAGAACACCTGGGAGGAGCCTTGCTTTGTTACAACCCATTTTGGCAGTAACTCACTTACTCCCTGGAGAAGGGCATTAGTCCATGCACAAGGGCAGCACCCCTGTGACCCAAAGGCCTCCTGGTTAGGCCATATCTCTTAAAGGTTCCACCTTCCCACATGGCCTCACTGAGACCAAGCCTCAGCAGGAGTTCAATGGGAACAGGCCACGTCTAAACCATAGCAGCTGGTAACTCTTCAGAGATAACACATGATTTCATCCTTGTTACCACCTCTGGAATCATTTTTTTTCTCTAATGCTATTGTCATTTCTCCCAGTGGGTTAGTTGTTGGGGTCTGGACCCTGAAATGGTTGCTGTCCTACCCTGTTCCCCCAAACAGGGGTTTCAGGAGATTCCTCTCTGTGAATTCATCTTTGGCCTCCTCAGTTTGCAGATCTCCAGGGGAGCCCGCCATTGTGGTCAACATGGCCTCTGAAGACATTGCCAAACTGGCAGAGACACTGGCCAAAACCCAGGTGGCCGGGGGACAGCTGAGCTTCAAGGGAAAAAGCCTCAAACTCAACACCGCGGAAGATGGTGAGTAGGATCTCGGCCTGTTTGTCCAGAGGCAGCGAGTTTGTGGAGTGAACAGTTGCCAGTCATCAGGCTCTTGGCGCTGCGCTGTCTTCATTGTCTGTCCTGACAGCTCTGCGAGGTGCGTGTCGTCAAGCCCACGAGCAGTCAGCCCACGAGCACACGCAGGCTTCCCTGGGCGGCATGTTGGCGTGGCCACCTCTACGCTGCCCTTCTGTTCTCAGAGGAGGGAACAGTAGGTAATGAGGGCCGCAGTTAGCAGCAGTCCCGGCGTAGAGCTCCTGGCTTCTGCCTTCAGGTCTGGTGTACGTCCCTTCCCTGCCTTCACTGCCCTCATCCGAGGCAGGTCTGCAATTACCTGCTGCCTTCCCCAGAGCTTAGGCCCTTGAGGAGCCGCAGTGAAACAGCAGTCTGGGCCCTCTGGGGAGGTTCTGGCCCATGCGACCAGATGTCCCTGGTAGAGGGATGGACACTCGTGTGTGTGCGTATGTGTGTGTACAGACACTGGGACCCCAAGAGCAAGGGACAAGTGTGCAAACCCCGACTTCCCTTTCCTGGCCAAGGCTTGGCTGGTACTGGCCAACCCTGAATCCTGGCATCTGGAAGCAAAGGCACCTACGTCAGTACTTATGAGGCCTCCTGGGGCTCCAACCCAACCGGGGAAACTGGTCTGGACTTGCCTGGTTGTCACTGGGTGCAGGCAGACTCTCCCCTCCTCTGTGTCAGGAACCTCATGAGTCCTCGGGTAGCTAGGAGCAAGTCAATGCACATTCCTAACCTCACTGTGGGGCCTCCCGGTTTACAGAGTGCCGCCACGGCTTTTACTGCTGTCGACCCGCGCACCATTCCTGTGGGAGTAGGTGGACATGTTGCCATCTTACAAAGGAGGAAGAAGAATGTAGGACACTTAAGTAACTTGCCCAAGTTCTCCCATCTGGGACATAGCAGAGCCGGGATTTTTCTTTTAGAGAGATTTTTATTATAGGGCGCATGCGTTCACCATAGAGACAGAGAGACAGAAAACGAGAAATCACCTCTGAGGTGATGACCACACAGCAATCCCTTCCCCTCCACTCTCCTCTCAGGATTTTGGGCATTCACACACATGTGCTTGGCATTTTTGTTTTGTTTTGTTTTGTTAAAAAATTATTTTATTTAACTTTATTTCTTTATTTTAATTTGACTAGAGAGGGACAGAGAGAGAGAGAATGTGAGAAAGGATCGATACTCAAACCATGGTCAGCCACGTGGGAGTCTGGCGCCCTTAACCACCATGCCACCTGCTGGCCCTGGAGTGAATTTTAAGCCAGCAGGTCTGGGACTCAAACCACGGTCAACTATGTGGGAGTCCAGCAATTGTAACCATTACGCTACCTGCTGGTCTCACAGATCCAGGATTTTAATAGAGGTCTAGTTAAGTCCCTGTTCCCGTCTGTATCACCTTGCTTTTTTTTTTTTTTAAGAGGTTTTTGCTATAGGGCGCGTGCGCTCGCCAGAAAGACAGAGACAGACAGAGAGATAGAAAGCAAGAAATCACCCCCCAGGGGGGATGGCCACGCCGCAATCCCTTCTCCTCCATTCTCCTCTCGGGATCTTGGGCACGCACGCACATGCTCCCAGTGTGAGTTTAAGCCACCGGGTCCGGGACTCAAACCACGGTCAGCTACATGGGAGTCCAGCGACATAGTCATTACACTAACTGCTGGTCCCTGTATCACCTTGCTTCTAAGGACTATGTAAATGTTCCCTTGAGCAGCTGCCTTCTTTCATGGCTGATCTGGCCAGTTCCTGGATATTAGACTGGGTTCCCTTCGGCGTGAGTCTTCCGAAAGGCAGAGAGGTCATCCTAGCCCTTGTGCTGGGTACCAGCTGCAGAAGAAGCCCTGGAGATGTGGCCCAGGAGCGGTCATCCAGGAAAATAGGGAGCAGGGGCTTCAGGGGCTTCTGTGCTGGGGCTGTGTATAGGGTCCGCGGTGGTGCACAGAAGCTAAGATTTGGGAGGTACACATAGGTTCACTTTTAGAACCAGTTTGAAAATGACTCTGTCATTTTCTTAGAATTCCTGGATGATGATGTTCCCTTGTTCCTTGATATTTCAGCTTCCCTTTCCAGAAAATAGGCACATACCAGAAAATTGGCCACACCGCAGTCCCCTCTCCTCCATTCTTCTTTCAGGAGTTTAGGGCTCACTCACACGCACCAGAGTGATTTTCAAGCCCTGGGTCCAGGACACAACCACACAGCCAGCCATGTGGAATCCAGGGCCTTACCAACCACGCTGCCTGCTGGCCAAGCATTTTATTTTACAGTGTAGTAACATAGCCTAGTGGGGTTTTGTTTAATTTGCCAGAGGGCACATGCACTGGACAGAGGGTGAGAGAGATCACGCTCCATGGGACATGATCATTCTGTACTTCTTTCTTTGCCATTCTGCCTTCCTTTTGGAATTTGGAGCAAGCACTCAAGTGTACTTGGTGTGTTTTTCTTTTTCTTTTTTTGAGAGGTTTTTGCTATAGGGCGTGTGCGCTACCTGGAAAGACAGAGAGACAGAAAGCGAGAAATCACCCCCCAGGGGGTATGGCCTTGCTGCAATCCCTTCTCCTCCATTCTCCTCTTGGGATCTTGGGCACGTACGCACACGCGCCCAACGTGAGTTTAAACCACTGGGTCTGGGACTCAAACCGCGGTCAACTGCATGGGAGTCCGGCGACATAGCCATTATGCCAACTGCTGGTCCTCCTGGTGTGTTTTTCAAGCTGCTGGGTCTAGGACTTGAACCATAGGTTCAGTTGAATGGGATTCAGTTCCCTTAACCACTGGGCCATTGGCTGCCCTGTTTTGTCTTACCTAATTAGAATCATATTATAGATTCCTACAAAGCTGCTTATAAACTGATAGGGAGAGCATGTTACTGCTGATGGTGGAAAAACACAGAGTGACCCATAGTCGTACCATCTAGGGATACCTGCTTTCACATTCAGTTTCTGTGCAACTGGACCTTGTTTTGTGTGTGCGTGTGGGGTGTGTGCGTGTGTGTGGAAACATAAATACCTTTTAAAACGATCGGACCAGATACTGTCGGGTAACCTCATTTGTTAGACTAACATGAATATTTTTCAAGTTAAAAATACCCAGTCAGGGCCAGCACATGGTATGGTGGTTAAGGCCCTGGACTCCCACATGGCCAACCACATTTCGAATCCTGGACCAGGAGGCTTGCTTTCTCCATCTCCCTCTTGCACTCTCTCTCTCTCTGTCTCGCTCTGGTCAAATTGAAGAAAAACAGATAAAATAAATAAAAATTTTTTAAAAAGTAACACTATTTAGGACCAGCAAATGACATCATGGTTACATTGTTGGACTCCCATGTAGTTGACCACGAATTGAGTCCTGGACTCAAGGACTTAAGACTCACGCCAGGTGCATGTGTGTGTGTGCCCAAAATCCCAAGCAGAGAATGGAGGACAAGGGATTGCAGGGTGGCTGTTCCTTCTCGGGGGTGATTTCTTGCTTTCTATCTCTTTATTTATGTTTCTCCAGCAAGTGCATGTACCCTATAGCAAAAATCTCTCTCTCAAAAAATACATCATTCATGGGACCTGTAGGTGGCGTGGTAGTTAAGATTCCTGACTCCCACATAGCTGACCACAGTTCGTGTCCTGGACCTGGTGGCTTACTTTCTCACCCTCTCTTCCTCTTTCTCTCTTGCTGTCTCTCTCTGGTCAAATTAAAAATAGTAAGGGCTTGAGCCAGCAGGTGGCATGGTAGTTAAGGAAGCTGGACTTCCACATGGCCAACTGCGGTCCAAGTCCCAGACCTGCCAAGGTGCTTTCTCACTTTCCCTCTCTCACTCTGTCTCTC